TGAGTCAATGTTGCACTGTGAAACGGAAACGATGCCAATGAAATAATGGATTATTTCTTAATTTTTGCATATGTTGAAAGGGTGCTCGATGAAGACTGGGAAATGCTATTTGCACTCTTTATTTCGTGTTTATCGACTTGCTTTCAGAACAGTGCTGAACTCAAGTAATCATTCAAATTGAGCGATCAAATTTGATATTATCATATCTGATAGAACAACAAGTATTACCATTTGGAAAATTGATACTCCTTCAAGTTTTTCGCGACACATATCTCTTCGTCCTTTTCGAACAGTTAATCTTTTGATCAATTACTTATAGCAGTGTGGTGATGAGATACGCCCAAAAAAGTGATATCGAAAAACGGTAGTTGATGAAACATGTAAAAAATTCACTTATTGAATGAGTTGGAATATTGNTCCTTTTCGAACAGTTAATCTTTTGATCAATTACTTATAGCAGTGTGGTGATGAGATACGCCCAAAAAAAGTGATATCGAAAACATATGTTGATGAAACATGTAAAAACTTCATTTATTGAATGAGTTTGATATTGTTCGGCAAACGAGGCTTAGAAAAATGGTTGAATTTGTTCGAGTTGTTGCCAGCTCTGGGAATTTAGCAGCCACACAGAAACTATGCAGATTCTTTATTGCTGTTTTCAAATTATTGTTCACGTTAAATGATGTCTCATGCAATCCCACAGAGTATTTGCGATCTGTCTCGAATGCATTTTGGACGTCTTTCACCAAATTTGTATTACGCCTCAAACAAAAAGGAAACGATTCATCATGATTGAAACCCATATTCTTGCATTTCAAATGATAAATCATACGTTGAAATTTAAGGAAAAAACGAAAACAACTATTAGAATAAGTCATATTTTCGTAGACATTCAAACCCAACAGTAGTTGTCGGAAATTCCCTTACGTACGTGAGAGGCCGTGTTTGTAGTTGAGCAATTATTTGAATTGTACCCAAATTGCATATACTGATTGTGAGTGAAACGATAGATTGCTATCAAGCATGCGTATTCAGCATGAGGATTAAGAATTAAGAAACTTTAGCAAAAATTTCTTCGCTAGGAAAAATTTTTCGACAATTGAATCCTCTTGTCAAAGAAAAAATTTTTGATAACTAATCGACTGACAGTGTAATCGAAGAGACTGGATTTGTTATATTACTATTATTAACAGCACCATTACTGTTATTTTACATCAAAATCAGTGGGAATGAAGGCAGATGGGAGGAAGAATAGATCAGTGACTAATAGATGAAGGAAACGATTGTTGATATTTTTTGTTTATTTGTGAACGGTTGTCAAGCNCTTTTATAGAACTTGTATTATTCATTTCGTATGAGTTTGAAACTCGAGCAATTTCCATGAAAAGATGACGACAGCTCGAGTTCGCAAAAAACGTATTCCGAGAAATTGCATTCGATATGAAAATATTGAGCGAACACATCAAATAACGCACCAAATTGCGACACACATCAGAAAATTGCCTATAAAAGTTTCGTTGGAAATCTTAAATTTACTCATTCGCGCTCAGTTCGTGAACATTCTAGACAAATAATCTTGCGTTCCTCATAAAATGTGTCTCTCCGTCAACCAAACAAGCATCGTAGAGATGTGATTGTCCATTCCAAGCCTTTGGACTCAATGAAATTCACGATCTCTGCGCTAACGCATTAATTTGAAGTATAAATCTGATCTGCTGATATATTTAGCAACAATGAAGACAAATAAATTATTCAATTTTTAATTCCAGTCATGAATTATAGTTCGAATCATTGACTGAGTATAAAACATTCAATTCGATTACACTGAATAAATGAAGGGATGAAATAGAGATTTTGACAAGTTGATTTGACAGTTCATTCATCTGACGCTTTCAGAATTTTGCACGAATTCATTTCGTTCAATTTTCTGCAACTCTTTTGTGTAAAAAATGACTGCTTCCGCAGTGAGCAATTGCTTTTTGCGATCGACACTGCGCATTGATAAATGATTATTCACAACAAATATCGTGAAAAAATACTTTAAAGTGTATTGAAAAACTGTGATGACTAATACGAATCCGATATGAACATTAGAAGTAAATTTGTTTGTAAATCAAATGATTTTGTAATATTCGGTCGATTCCATTATCATTGCTCACAATCAGGATATGAATCACGAGAGAATTTAACGGAAATCTTGTGATGCTTCCATATTTGCATCTCTATTAGGCGTTATTCTTCCTTATGAATCATTTTCAAAATCAATATTTTACATAATCATTTAGAAAAAATTTTGATGAATTTTCGATGCAAAGACGTCCGGAATTCACAACAAAACATCATTGTTCACAATTCATGAGTTTCATTTTTTGAAATTTTGGTGAATATGATAATGGATTTTTTTTACAAAGCACACTTCATAATATCTCAAAATGGAATGATGATGTTTTTTATCGAATCGAAACAAACATATCCATTCACCTTAACATTTTAAGCATCAGAACAATCTCACAGTTACTTCTTGCATGAAGCGAGACATATGCATGAAATATTTTGATGGTTTTGTTGAGACAGAAAGAGACACTGAGACTCTCCGATGAAACAAAATTCTTTGTATTTAAAATTACACGAGAAATCTCTTTTGGTATTCTCTTTAAACTGCAACAAAATGGAGAATTCCAGTGCTGATACCGATAATTTCTCCATTTCTATGCAATTTTACCGACACCCAAAAATCCCCGAAGATTTTGCCTTCAGAAAATCGTTTTTAATTTTCACCACCAGCATCAAATTTTCATCTAATCTACACTTTGCATTCGTATCTTTTCTCACTGAAACTTCAGGAATACAACCATGTATGGATAGGACATGAGCATGCCATGATTTCCCCATTCTTCACTATCAGCACGCTGGAAAGTCGACGAACTGTACGAGAGAACGAACTATCTGCACGATTGCTGGTTATCCTCACAATCAGTACAGCAATTCCTCGAAATTTTTTATTTAGTTCATTCATGCCACTGAAAACAAAACTCAAAAAGCGAAAATTTTAAAACGAATAAAAAAAGTGACTCCCAAAAATTTCCGCATAGCAACGAACCAATAATCAAAAAGAATGCTGAATCGTTTCAATAATCAGATGAATTATCTAAATATACATATGAATTCAAGTGAATAAAACGCACAGCACACTTAAATGAGCTTATTTGTACACACTCATCCGTGAAGATATATTCACATCAACTGGTTTGACTTCGAAATGCGAGTTGCATCCACTTCGTGCAATCTCCCTTCTGAGGGATTACAGCAGATCCCACATGATGCATTCATGTCCATATGAGAGCATGCACTGGTTCAGATGACCTCAGTAATGACCTTTTGAAGTACTTAAGGCAATGTGGTAATTGAATCATNTGTTTCCGTTGAACGCAACGGTTAATCATCTCACCATCAGCTTTAGAGATGCGAACTTGGAATTTGAATATTCTTCTTGTGAAACATTGAATTGAAAAGAAAAAGCATAAATCAGCTCAAAGGTGTTTGCCCGACATCAAATGACACCAACGTCAGATCCGCAATCCACGGTCTCTTCAAAAAAGTACTCAAACTCTTGTTATCATTGTTTAGTTAAAAAAAATAATCTACAGGAAAAGTGCTGAATAAATATTTATTGTGCTATACGACGCAATTGGCACGAGCGAGTTCTCCGCAATGTTGATCGACATTCCAATGATTGTTCTGAGGAAATCAGATGAGTAAATGAACAACAACTCATTCACGTGAAATGATTCTAAAGAAAGAGCTGACGGCCACTGTATGGACTATAAGCTGCGTTGCTAATGCATAAGAACTACACATGACTAATAAGCAACCGAGCGATGAAATTCTTGCACAACATCTGATTTTGAGGTGCTATAACACTGTTGATAACTGAAGCTTAAATTATTACATTTTCAATCTGATTTTATTTCGATGCATTTATCAGCAGTAATCACAATCAGTTTCAATATTATGTTATCAAAATCAATCACTGAATTCACCATACACTAGCAAGCCTCCAAATCAAAGAATTTTCGAATTCGCACAACAGTTCTCTTTCCAGGACTCATTCTTCGATAAAAATTTCACAGTCACACTCTTTTCAACAGCGATTTCGTATGGCCTTCAAGCCTCCTCGAAAATAACTCAGACCAATCAATTATATAGCATTTTCCGATCTAAAATTCTCGTCATTTCGAAAATTCAGCTACTGAAAAACTGTAGCAGTAATCCTCGGAGAAAAAACTGATGAAGAAGATGAATTGGCAATTGTAAATGGATTGATTTGAATGCATTAATGAATGTGTGCATGCATGTGTGCATGACTGGTTCACAGAACTGTCTTATTCAATCGCTTATGAAAAGTGAATTACGTTAATTATCAGAATTAAATCAACTATTCGTACGATTGCGACTGTAAGACACACTTCACTGCCTTCCATATGCAGTTATCATTCAGTTATAATTAATCATCAGTCATACGGTGAATAGAATCCATCGAATATGTCACCTGAAATCAGACAAATAGAAAATGTTTGAAATTACATGATTTCCTGTTACAATATGTTCCCTATTTCCACATATTCGATTCTGTGGGCGCCTAGTTTTCAGTTTTATGCGTTCAGACGCAAGGTCAAGAGAAAGGTCAAGCGTTCGAGATCTAAACAAGTCACACCTTTGTTGATCGCAATATTAGGAAGTGATTGATGCGTGTGCAAATCGGATTTATTGCATTTTCTGTTCAAATTCGTAATTTGTGATCCCGGAATGTTTCGAAGTTTGGTCGTTGACTTGGTTCGCAATGCGTTCGGCAAGCTTCGATTGAACGAGAGTTATGCGTTTTGGATTTGAGAGGTTCTCAAGCTGGAGCGATGGGTTTTTGTGTTTTTTTTTAGTAAATTCATTTTCTTATGCGTTCCAGGTTGTGCAGCCTCTGAGGAACAGCTGAAATCTATCGAAATATGAGTGCAGTGGTTGAAAAAGGAGTCGTTTATCGGCGAAACGAACCGGGTACAAAGCGAGAAGAATGGTGCAAATGGCCTGAAATGCCTTTCGATGAGGTATCACTTACGGGATTATTTGGCTATCATTGTTTGTTTATCTCTTAGAGTGTCCTTTATTTTGATCTGTCTACTTTGATGGTGAGACGGCATCTCTTTTGATTGATTGTAGATGGATAGTACGTTGAATGTGCAACAGTACATCCAGCAGTGTATCTATGAAGATCCATCAGACGTGGATAAAATCTTAAAAGCGCCCGCCGGACAGGAGGAAGGTGTTTGGAAATATGAGCATGTTCGGCAGTTTTGTATGGAACTTAATGGTCTTGCTATTTTATTACAGGTTATCATCGAGTTCATTTGAAATTCATCGAATTATTGCATCGAAATTTTATTTATTTTGTTCATTCAACAACTCAGACTGCGTTAACGTTCCGTCGAAATTACTGTTATGTATAGTCAATATTTTTGATCTTGGCTATCTGAATAAAATAATTCTTCGTTCAGGACGAGTGTAAACCGGATGTTTGCGTACAAATGACTGCAACAGATCAGTGGATTTTCTTATGTGCTGCCCATAAAAACCCTAAAGAGGTATGGTATTTATTGTGTATCGTAATCATAAGATATGGTAATCATTACAGTTTATTTGTTATCCAGTCGGAGATGTAGTATCCTCTATCATATATATGATATCACATATCGATAATCTGTCGTAATTTTGAGAAGTAATAGGTTAACATGTACGATACTAGTCATTTATCATCGTAACTTGAATTGTGGCAAGCGAGGCAGAAAGTTTATTAATAAACTCCACTCTTTTTCGACTTTTCCACATTGAACAATTGATAGAAATGCTGAATTTCAGTGCTCAGCGATAGACTACACACGGCATACGCTCGACGGGGCTGCATGCCTTCTAAATAGCAATAAATATTTTCCAAGTCGGATTTCCATTAAAGAATCATCGATTTCAAAAATTGGCTCTGTTTGTCGTCGTGTTTATCGTATCTTTTCACACGCTTACTTCCATCATCGTGAATTATTTGATCAATTTGAGGTAACCTTATTTGTGTCTCTTTTTCGTTATCATTACCTTTTTTTAAAGCGAAATCGTCACTACACAACGTTCTCGTAGTGTATCAG